AACGAAAGAAATTTCTCTCCTACGCGTGTCCAATGAAGCGGACGTGCTTTACGCGAGCGATCGCGCCGAAGTTATGAACATGGTTGTGATAATTTCGAAAAGAATTAAAGTTCGATTTTAGGATCTCAGAAAGGATGTCACGTATGGTGAAATAGTTGCGATGAATCAAGAACTAAATGAAGAAAAAGTCCACATAAATGTATATATATATATACATAAAGTTATAATAGATAGAATATCCTATATAAGTGGAATATAAATCGGTATTCATGAACAAAATAAGTATCTTTTTCTCTTGAAAAAATTTTAAAAAATGCTCGTTTTCGATATATTATTTTTAATATGCCAATATATTGTGTTTGCTATTTTTTTATTCATTTCGTATCGAAATAATCTTTTGTATAAAAATTGTAATAATTCTATCTATCTTTAAATCTATTTAAATTGATGTTTTTACAAAACAACATTTAAATTTTATTTGATATGAAATAGGTTTCCCTCATGGCAGTAAAGTGAAAAAAAAAATATTTTGACAAAAGAAATATGATATGGAGTACCGGTCTACATTCTATTTATAAAGACACTCTATCCATTTCCAAATATATCTCCGTATATATCATAGTTTTTTTTTTATATAAAAATCCTTCCTAACAATAATCTCAACTGACGATATCAGGATCCAACGCAATATTTTTCACACGAGTTGCAAAAACGTGCGAGAAGGCGGAACGGATGGCGTGCGAGCGGAAACTGGAGAAGCGGGAATCAGGATGCTGAGAAAAAGAATAACGCCGGAGACAAAGTCCGGAGATGGCGAGGGGGCGAGGAAGAAATTCAGAACGCCGTAGCCGAGGGTTTAGCCTCTAACGTCGCGGCGTCGCGACGTTGACCTGTCAGCCTGCAACGTCGGTGACGAAGCTGGCCGTCTCGCCTTTGGAATTTCCACGTAAATAAAATCTCCGGAAGAGTGTGCAGTGCCTCCTCGAGCGCGAGAGAGCGACGCCGCACGCAAAAAGGAAAGGGAAAAGGAAGAGGAAGGGAAAGAAAGAGAGAGAGGAGGGGGAGGAAGGGGGAAGAAGAGCGAGACGTTCGTTATACGCTCGCGACGCCTCATGCCTCAGCGCATCTCCGACGTCGAGATTCACCCGACGGTTACGGCGTAACGACGTGTGCGATACCCTGTGTGTATATACACAGTGTCGCACACAGCCGTATACAAGGAAACGTGCTTTCACGATGTAGCAAGACGGCGACGATGTAATTGAAAACGAGACTGTCAGAGTAACTGCGATTGCTTTTTCATTACGGTGGCAATTAGATACACAGACGCAAACACATGGAATCTCTGTTCGCTGTCTCGTTACGCTGTTAACCCGACGTAATAATAGCAACTTGTAATCTTTTACAGTGTCTCTACTAACTTTTTATTTTTAAAAATGGGGTACGGGATAACGAATCCCATTAAAGAATAAATTGCACCTTGGGAATCAAGGGACAAACTATTTGATATAATTATTTTATCATCGTCATCGTAACGATAACAGATTATGCGAAATGTAAAAAGTATTTTTCCACGAATAATACAAAAGTATTTTATTAATTTTTTTCTGTCTTTTTTGAAAAGAAATTATGCGCACGAGTGAAAATTACTACGTAAGCTATTGTTTTACAATTCGTACAAGATTGAAACTGAAACACATGGCTTTACGTGATATTTTATTGCTTACTGTTTGCAGTGGTGGCTCAAGCATACAAAGTCGACGTGGAGGTGACAGGGGGTGCATCGAGGGGATGCACCGCGATATTACGCTGCATCATACCCAGCTACGTCAAAGATTTGGTGCGCGTTGTATCCTGGCTGCACGAGCCTTCATCCTACATATATCCCTCACTACAAGGAGGTAAATGTTTATAACAGAAATCTACATGCGAGCGCTACGTGTTTGTACATTTCTTTGTGGTACGTTGCACTACAACTAAAGTCCAATTGAAAAATTCAAGATGCATAACTTTTTACGCGCGGCGTAAAAGCGATTTTGCTCAGTAAGTAACGTAAATCATCTCACGCGGAAAAGATTCACGGGAAAATAAATTTTCGCGGTTCCGCAACGAGATATATGTAAAGATTAAGTCGCACGTTGGGAAGGTAAAACAATGGGAAATACGTGCTATAATTATTTCATGTTTCGTATACGCGAGACGCATGCTGCTCCTACCGCTCTAAAGATTTTCGGTCGGAACTTGTGGGAACTTTTAACGTAATTAAATTTCAGAAACTCTCTGTTTAAATATATAAGCGACATCTTCTTAATTAATTTTCCATATTATATATATATATAAAACTTTGTTATATTTGCATTTCGTTCTTCCATATATGGCTTTTAAATCAATTAATGAAAATCTAAAGGAATATCTTATAATATATTATTCTATATTTTATTTTCATTCCCGATATCGCATTATTCTGCATTTATTAATTCTGCATTTATTAATATTTATTTTTACAAATGCGCATTTAATAAACATTTCCTAATTTAAACTTTACCGTGGCTGAATCTCCAAATAATTTCGTTAATCCGGGCTCTCGCAAGCTACAAAGACTGATTCGATTCTCGGGGAACATCCCGGGCGGATTTTCGCGAATGTGGTAGCGGCCAAGCGGATAGTGGAGAAAAAAAGGGTGACACGAATATAGCGACAATACGAGGCGATTTCAGCGTAGCCGGTGCTATGTCGCAAAACTCGACTATGGCCATCGCCTACGAGAACTAAAATTTAATATCCGCCGCGGACGCCCGTGCTGAAATTTAATATCCACAATAATGCGGTGTCTCCTTCCGCAGCTCGCGGTGCGGGATGCACGAGTCGGGATTGTCGGGTTCATTAGTAGCTCGCAGAGATTAATCAGATTTGCTGCAAACGCGAATCCGACCCCAGAAAATTGCGTACAAGGGCGCGAGATAAAAGCGTGTTATGCATGTTAATTAAACATTTTGCGCACCGCGATTTGATTAGGGCTTCTAATTAGCCGAACTAAGAATATCTAATCGCAACAAAAGCCGCATTGTTATCCGTATCTATAACGCGCGCGGATATAAATTAGCACGCTTGCACTCGAGAATTATGGATTCGAAGGATACTATAATCGATGTAGCCGTAAAAAGGTTAAAGTTTCGAAAGATATTTTAACAGAGATCGGAAAATCGTAGAGGGTTTCATTTGGGCGTTCGCCCAATATGATAATCTCGTGTTGCATGCGAAGATGGTTTTTTTTTCATGTCGCATCCGTTATCGCGATTGTGTCGGCGTGGATATCAGATTGGACGTAATTCGCTGCGCGTACATAACGCCCGGCTTATGTACATGGCGACATATACATATGCGTGTCGCATCTATCGTGAATGGAACCGACCATAGAGCCATAGGCTCCAGCCCGTCGAATGTAATATCTAAACTACATAGACCATTCGGTCCACCTGACTTGGCGAACAATCTATTCGGAAGGCTGCCTTATCGCAGCTGCCGCTCTTAGCTGCTCTAATGTCTCACAAACGAGCTCACTCAGCCTCACGTGAGTGTATGACACTGTTGCTATACATAATCGTAAAAGTACATCGTGCGCAAAGCATTTTCGCACGTAAACGCAAGGAATATAGCCACTGGCTGCAAGAGTGTCTCAAGCGTGCACGTTTTTTTCCTCACGCCAATGTTAACGAGAGACATTTCGATAATAGATCCCGCGAAGAATTGAAATAGAATTTTTTAATCGATCTTTTTGTTAAATAACCTGCTAAATTCGGAAATTTTCTAATTTCCTAAAATCACTAGAAAATTCACTAGAAAAGAGATTTAATTATTTCCTTTCAGCTTATTTCAATCGACGATTTTTATATCACCATTTCCACTCTATTTTTACGTTAAGGAAAATCCTCTTTAAAATCAAATTTAGTATCGTCAAATTTATTATTAAAGTATTTATCGACCAGAAATTTTTAAATAAAAATATCTCTCGCGAGACGATATAAATTTAAACTTGAACTCTGTTTTGCATATCAGAAATAAGGAACAATTTTAATATTTATCGAATATATTACACGCGATACTTTCTACTTTCGCGATATGTTCACGATGTAAGTAGCATACGAAACAGCAATTATGCACGTAGAACACGATTCGTAGATCCCGGAAAGACTCAAGTTTCTAGGGCAGGCTTCGCAACTGTTTAGGATAATTGTGATCGTTAAACGTTGTAGTCGGGCTTATCTAAGGAAACCCCGAGTTTAGTTCGGGCACGGAAGAAAGTGGGGAGAGACCGTGTCCCTACGTCACGTAGATCGGACAAGGGTGGAGCCGTGGAATTAGCGTAATTATCGTGCAGCCGAGTGCGGCCGTGCCCGAAAATATCGTAATCTGGCAGGGCGTGGCGTTATCGCCGGTCGTTAAAGATAACCGACACGGTTTATCGGGAAACGTTGATCCCAATTATTGCCGCAGCGCATTCGATATGAATAATACGGCGGGATTAGGAAGTCGTGTATTATTCATGCACGGCAAGCGGAACTCTATCGAAGCGTTGTTTCGGGCGAGTTTTGCAATCGATTGCAGGGAGCAAATATCCCGTATAACACAAAATGCAAAGCGAAAGAGAAAGAAAGAGAGCGCAAAAATTAAATAATTTATAATTTAATTATTATATATAAGTTGCCCCGAATGTTTGTTTTCGATAATCAGAAATACGTTATTGAAGTCTACTTTTTATCGTGTAAAAACTGTCCGGCAGATACTGGCCTCAAAAATTTCAAGATTAAATGTATGACTCTATAAAAAAGTCGATGGCAGAGAGAGAGAGAGAGAGAGAGAGAGAGATACTTTAGTACTGTATTGGTTTTCTGAGACATCTTATATACCGTACGACGTCTTCCGATACGTTTGACATTTCACGACGGCTTTCGATCGGTACGTTTTAGATGGCAAGTTCCACCTGCTTCCCACGGGAGAGCTTCTGGTACACAGCCTAGAGTTCAGCGACCAGCTGAACGGCTACAGATGCCGCACGATGCACCGTCTCACGAGACAAGTGGTCGTTAGTTCTATGGCCAACATTAGAATAGCAGGTGAGTCTCGGTAACGCCGATAAGTTTCGAAGGAAACTGCCGTGCATCGCTGGAAACACTGTTTGTGACGCGCCGAGTTTTCTGCATTTTGCTTCACAGATCACAGAGGCGTAATGCCTCCCGTGATACTCGAAAACTCCGGCGTCGTTCATGTCGCCCAGGACGAATCGACGTCGTTAGTCTGCGTGGCGCAAGCTTGTCCTTCGCCTGAATACCGGTAAGTGTTTGCGAAAATCCTTCAACACCCGGCGAGCTCAAGAGCGAAAGCACTGCGTGTTACCGCCACGCTTTAACCATAATCCTCAAATCGTCCCTTATCGCTTCAACTTTTATTTACTTAAAAACAAAATCTTTTTTTCTTTCGGTAAACAAGATATCGACGGGATTTTAAGTAAAGTGCTTTATATCAACGTTTTCATTCCTTCCTTCCTTTTTCCCTTCGTGTTCAAGAATCGGGGATCTTTGCGACAAAGAGGATACGAGAAAAGGAAGGTTCCTTATAGCGACTCTTCAATACTCCCTTTTTTCCAATTCGCAGCGCGTCGAATGCGCGGAAAAAGTTTATTTTTATTACTACACACACACACACACACACACACATATATATATATATATATATATATATATATATATATCTACTAACTACACCACTTTGTCGTCGTATTCGAAGGAAATACGCGCGCGTACGACTGTCACGACGAGATTATCCGTTGCGAGTGTAGATGTACGCGATATCTCGTAGAGATATCTCGTAAGAGATTCCACCCTGGCGGCGTTCTCTCGCCTCGGAAAAACACGCCCGCGACGCCCATTCACCATTTTCCGCGTAGTACTACGCGCATAAGCGTTCCGGGAACTCGCTCGCGCGCGCGTAGGGCTAGGTCAGTTAAGCGCCGCGAGCACGTGCCGCACGGATCAGCTGATCGCCTGTGCACCGCCGACTGACTAACCGCGGCGACCTCAATCCCCTCGCGATTCGAGATCGCCGACGTTCCGTCACCGCAATATCTCGAACATACGCACAGTGGGTGCCTTCCATTTACGGCTACGGTTGTTTCACTTTCGGATAAATTTATCTAATGGGTAAGAAGAAGCGGAGACTCATCAAAAGATGGAACAACCCACCCTTGATGACACAAGTCGACAACAAACGTCGTTTTATCTGGCATTCACTGAGTGACAACGACAAAGCGATACTTGCGTCACTAAGTGGAAAGCATCGTGTAAGATGCGCCACAAAGCTTTTCGTTGTATGATAGAAACCGAAGCTGATCCTTTCAAACGACTTGTGGGGGAAAAATGTTGTGGAAAATCGATTTTTTCTCATTTTCCAACTTTTGTATTAAAATTTTATTAAAAAAGTAGTGAATAGAGATTGCGAGATGCGAGATTAAAATTTGTTTTTAATACTTTTGAAATTGTTTCGAGAACTTGATTGATTGCTCGATAAAAAATAATATTAAGATTGCATTATACTATTGCAAACAAATGATCTTTCCATTGAAATATTTTTCATATGCGCATTCTATAGATACAGTTATACTGAATATACGTTGGAGAAATTACATATTGCAACAAAATTATCAGACATGAATCGAAACGAATTGTGTATTTTATCGTCTATTCTGCAAAATCTCGCAGCCACAACGTTCGTCAAAATACCACCGTTATAACTTTGCAATCGAATGTGATATTAATTGAATATATAAAACACAAATGAATCATCGTAAATAAATTAAAAATTGAATCGAGGAATTTACTCACTCCATTTATAACAAAATGCTTTTTCAATTACTTTTCAGCTTTAAACTACGTCCTGTAATAGCCAAGCTTGTCAATTAGACAAAGGCCGCATGATTTGAAGTTATATTTTCCTTGTTCTTCGTAGCATTTACTCTCTGCTATCTTTGTAATAAATGAAAATCTGTAGTATGATAAAAAATAATGGATTTTCTATTACAACTATTCTCAGATTGGGTCACGTGAACAATAGCTGCGCTCTTTCCAAGTATAGTATAGTTCAATGGTTTTCAGAGACGATTGCTTTATCTCTGGCAGACAATTCTCTAAAAAAATTTCATATAACCAATAGAATCCAGCTCCCCTTCAGAAAAGAACTTTTAGAAGAACCTGATACTTTCTAAAGAAACTTCTGTCAATTAGACATAAAATAAATGAAGACGTTCAAGAACTTTGCGTTTCGACTAGATAAAAATTAATAATAATTTTTTCACTTCAATTATAGAATTACTTACCGATAAAACCGATAAAACTCTTTTGAAGCGATATGAAAATTCCCCAATAACTCTCGACTTTCAAAAATAAAAATTTTTAATTATAAGAATTAAAAAGTTTTATTCAACTGAAAAACAATCCTTAAAAAGACATTTTCATTTTTATTTTTATCGCTTTTAAGAAATTTGATTTCAACTCGTGGAAATGATCGTTTTTATTCCTCCTCCCCTCCCCCCCCCCAAAAAAAATTACTTTCATATTCATTTTTATATTAAAAGAAAAAAATAAAAGTCTTTTAAATAATATAATCAAATCCTTATTAGGCTCCTGCGATTCACAATTTCCATAATTCCGATTAATTTTTCTTTCTCGAGCGACGAAACGCTTGAATCTTTCTGAAGTCCCTGTCTTCAAATGGAATCGAGCAAGATGCAATCAACTATTCATAACGAATAACACAAAAGGTGAGCACTCACCCGAGCCGTTCGTCGCCATTCGTCGCTTCCGGCTTGCTCTCGAGCGATCCTCGACGTCGATATCGGAGGGCAACACTCCATCGAGGAGAACGGTTCTTGTCCTCTCCCTGTCGGCTCACTCGCGCGGGCGCGAATCGATCGGAAAATTATAACTAATTACATTCGCGCTCGTTAATTAACGCGATAGACCGGATCGTCGGACGCTTCGTCGCTCGCTTCCGGCACGTATTCGCGCGCTCCAAAGCCCCCCCCCGAAAGGCTTAATTACCGTCGTCGCGCGGTGAATCGAGATACGCTGCGATCGCGACGTGCGAAAACACACTTTAATTCGGTGCTTCTGCTCCGCGCGGCGCTGCACGTGTGTCCTGGCGTGACGCGTTCGCGGCGCACTTCACAGACCTCGAGGCGCTCCCGACATTTCATCTTTTCTCATGTGGCACTTTAATACCGTAATAAATCTAACTTAATACTGGCCAGTATAATGCTGGAAATTACTTATTTTGAATATTAAAAACACTGCTGTTCAAAGTAAGTACTTAATCACTGTAATCTCCTAGTATTAAATTTCTACAAGAGCTTTCTCAGCAAAAAATTTTTCATACCAGGAGATATATAAATATATTTAAACATGTATAACTATATGTATATAATTATATATGAAATATGTCCATATATATATATATATAT